AAGATGTTCGCCACCTGGCTCACAGAAGAAGCCCAATACGAACAAGAAGCTCTAGAAATGTCAAGCAGCTCCCGAATGAAGAAGGAAGAGACGAACTCTCCCAGGAAAATGAAGAAGACCTGGAGTACCAAGACAGAGAGACAGAGCCAACATGGGGCATCAAGCTGTCTCTATTGCGAGAAAGAACACCAACTTCCAGATTGCCCACTGTTCCAGAAGTGGACAGTCGGCAGCCGGTACAGCTACTGCAAGACGAAGCGAATATGTTTTCGCTGTCTGGCTGGCACTCATCGTGGATTAAGCTGCAGGAAGTTCCCAGGATGTCAAGTGGCAGGATGCGGTGGCAGCCATCATAGTCTTCTCCACGCGACTCGCGGTGATTCTACCCCTGCGATGACACAAAGTCATACTACTGCCAGACTGCCAGTTCAGGAACAGCATGAAGGGGAGCTAACTCATCGGACCGCTGCTTCAGCGACTCAGAACTCAGGCCGCGTCGTTTTTCAGACAGTTCCCGTGAAGGTGAAGGCGAATGGACGATCTCTTATCGTCAACGCCCTGCTGGATCCATGCTCGGATGCCAGTTTCTTGACGGACGCCGCTTCTAAGGAGCTGGGTCTCCAGGGTGTTCCAGAGCAGTTTGAGCTGGGAACAGTGGAAGGCAGCAGTCAAGTGAACATGAAGAAGTCGGAGGTGGAAATGTGTTCCACAATCGGCCCGTTCAAGACCAGCATTGGCGTGTACGTCATTAATGACCTCTCCAGCGCTTCAGCCAAAATTGACTGGAACATGACGAAGAGCAAGTGGAACCATCTGAAGAACATATCTTTCCCCAACGTTTCACGAAGACAGGGGATCGATATGCTGATCGGACTGACGGCTTCTACGACGTCGCTGTTCCTTCCTCTGGAGACAAGACAAGGCGAAGCACATGAACCTGTGGGAGTGAAAACCCCGCTCGGCTGGACAGCCTTCGGGCCTGTGGAAGATGCGAAGAAGAAAAACTTCAGCAAGACGCTACGGACTCACGTATCAGTGAACAATCAGGATGAAATAGACGCCATCCATGCTATGACCGACTTGGAACTACTCGGAGTGAGAAACGAGAATGAGAAGATTCTCTCGTATGAGGAAAAGTCCGCACTTAAGAAGGCACAAGACTCACTCAAGTACGACGGCGAGCGATATGAGGTAGCAGTACCTTGGCGTCGTGATCAGCCCGAGTTGAGTGGAAACTTCGGATACGCTGTGAGCCGATTAAGAAAAACTGAGCAGAGCCTGATAAAGAATGAAGACAGGTCTCTTCTAGAAAAGTACAATGCGAATTTTGAAGATTACGTATCTAAAGGATACCTTAAGAAGATCGTACCTGAAGATAGAGAGGCTGCATCCTTAGACGGCTGGTTCTTGCCCCACTTCCCGGTAGTAAAGGAAGATCGCGCCACGACGAAGATACGGGTAGTGTACGATGCAGCTGCAAAATTTGAAGGGAGAAGTCTGAACGATGAACTCTATCCTGGACCATCCATCTGTAACGACCTGATAGAAGTCCTGCTGGGATTTCGCCGTCATGCGATCGCTCTGACTGGAGACGTCGCGGAGATGTTTCTCCAGGTGAAGCTACCCGATGGTGATCAGAAGTTCCATCGTGTGCTCTGGCGCAACTGCGAAGCTGGAAGAGAGCCAGATATCTATGAAGCACAAAGGTGGCTGTTCGGAAACGCTGCAGCACCATTTGCAGCCCAGTTCGCGATGAAGGAGAATGCCAAGCAGCACGCTTCACGATATCCTCTCGCTTCCAACACGATCAAGGACTCGTTCTACATGGACGATGCCCTCGTCTCATTCGAAAGTGAAGATGAAGCGAAGGAAGCCAGAAAGCAACTCACAGAGCTGATGCAGTTGGCCGGCATGAAGATAAGAAAATGGAGAAGCAGTAGCAGCTCAGTGACGGACAGCATACCAGAAGAAGAGCGAGCCAAAGAGTCAAGTTTCACTATCGAAGATGGCCCTCAAACTCGTGCCAATGCACTTGGAGTCGTTTGGAATGCGGATGAAGACAAGCTGAGCATTAGCAGCAATGCTACCATTCAGAAGAACATGACGCCAAAGCCTACCAAGAGGATCTGTCTCAAGACGCTCGCAGCCATCTTCGATCCTCTATGCTTGATGAGTCCATTTACCGTCCGAAGCAAGATCCTATTCCAGGAAACTTGGTCCCGAGGTCTTCAATGGGACGATGAGCTGCCCGCCGACATGAAGCGCAAGTGGGCGGAATGGGTGACGGAGCTGGAGCGCGTGAGCTCTTTATTAGTGCCCCGATGCATCCACCCCTTCTCCAAGGCTACAGCTCAGAAGCTACACGCCTTCTCAGATGCCTCTGAGCAGGCATATGCAGCCGCAGTCTACGTCGTGACCACAAGTGAAGATGGCGTTGCCGCAAGATTGGCTCTAGCAAGAGTCAGAGTCACCCCACGCTCTAGAAAGGTCAGCATCCCTCGTCTTGAGCTGATGGCTGCCCTCCTGGGTCTGCGACTGGCGAAGAAGGCCTGTGCAGCATTCAGGATCCAGATATCAGATGTGCTGTTCTGGTCTGACTCCATCAACGTGCTCTGTTGGATCAGAAATGAAGTCAAGCAGTTCCAGTCGTTCGTGGCGCATCGGATATCAGAGATTCGGGAAGTGACAGATCCTGAGCAATGGCAGCATGTTCCCGGAAATCAAAACCCAGCAGATCTTCCCAGCAGAGGCGTAACACTGGAAGTTCTGAAGTCCAGTGACCTGTGGTGGTCGGGCCCTGCATTTCTTGTGGAAGAGCGAGAAAACTGGCCAATGCCAAGAGATCTACAATCAGAGCCATTCGACAGGAGCGAGATGAAGAAGACGAAGACAGTACACAGCACTCTGATCAAAGAAACTCAAGATGACCTCCGGCTACACCCAAGTCACTTCTCAAGCTGGATGAGGCTGGTCAGGGTGACGGCGTGGGTTCTAAGGTTTATCGAGAAACTGAAGAGACTAACAAGAGGAGAGTGCCCAGATGAACACAACGACGGCACATCATCATCACTGGACAGGCGGGAGATGTCTTCTGCAGAGACATTCTGGCTCCTGCGAGCTCAGGAATGTTTTGCCAAGGAGCGAAGACAGCTGGAAGCACAAGTCGCAGTCCCGTCCGGTGAAAGCAAACAGGGTCAAGTCTTCAAAAGCAGCAGCATCCGCAGACTGTGTCCGATTGTAGATGACCATGGACTACTGCGAGTCGGCGGACGCCTCCAGAGAAGCGACTTGCCATTTGATGTGAAGCACCCAGTGCTTCTCCCAAAGGGCCATCAAGTGACCCGTCTCCTGGTACGTCATGTGCATGAGCAGGGTGAACACGAGCTCGGCGTTGAGCACACCATATCGGAACTTCGCCAGCGGTTCTGGGTGATAAGTGCCAGAGAAGAAGTCAAGAAATGCATCAGATCTTGTACAGAGTGCATCAAGAGATCCAAGAAGCCAGAGAAGCAGATGATGGCGCCGAAGACTGGAGCTGAAGTGATGTATTCCTGCCGCGCGTTCAGTCACTGCGCGGTGGACTTCGCAGGACCGTTCGAGACCAGACAGGGAAGAGGGAAGACTCGGCTGAAACGCTACCTCTGCGTCTTCCTGTGCTTACAGAGTAGAGCGGTGCACCTGGAGATGGCCTGCGGACTCGACACTGACAGTTTTCTGCGAGCATTCCTGAGATTCATCGCTCGAAGAGGGAGGCCGTCTGAGATCATCTCCGACAACGGGAAGAATTTTGTTGGAGCAAGTCGCGAGCTACGGAAGCTAGTCGGAGCTCTGGACCAAGAAGTGATCAAGAGACAAACCGCTCACTTCTACATAGACTGGAAGTTCATTCCTCCGGGAGCGCCTCATTTCAATGGTGGCTGCGAGGCGATGGTAAAAAGTGCGAAGCGGGCACTACGAAGAACTTTAGAAGCCGCCCATCTGACAGATGAAGAACTGATGACCGCGTTCTGCCGCGCGGAGGCGCTTCTGAACACCAGGCCACTGACCGCGGTCTCATCTGACCCGTCTGATGCGCCACCGCTCACCCCGGCAGCGTTCCTGCTCGGTCACACCCAGCTGGATATCTGCTCTGAAGACGCTGACACGCCCGAGAACGCCAGAAAAAGGTGGCGTCGACTCCAGCAGCTGAACACAGAGTTCTGGCGGCGCTGGATCAGAGAATACTTACCAAGTCTTCAGACAAGACAGAAGTGGACGGAGATGTCACGCAATCTGCGTGAAGGAGAGATGGTGCTGATCGCAGACTCATCGGTGCCTCGAGGCTCGTGGCCCCTGGGCAGAGTCGCCAGAACGTTCCCCGGTCAGGACGGCCTCGTCCGCGTCGTGGAGGTGAACACGCGGAAGGGTGTGTACAAACGACCGGTCACCAAGATCGTGCGACTGGAGCTAGACAACTGAAGTAACTGAGAGCTCATGAATGGCCGGTCGATGTTCCGGCACGTAGTGTTCTGAATGACGTGCTCATTCAGTGTCGGGGGGAAATGTTGATGAGAAAAGAACTGTTTTTATTGAAAGTGTGGCGGGTGAATGAACTTATTTTATGTGAGTGGCTGAGAGGTGCCCCAGAGTGAGGACGCGTGAGTCATAAAAATGGCTTATCAGTGAAAATGTTAAGAAAATACAGAAATGACAGAGAATTTGAAGTTCTTAGTTGTTTCTCATTTAAGTCATTAAGTTTATTAAGAAAAAGACACAACGCGAGGAAACTATCAAGCCACACTGCCTATTATACAATCGGCGTTTGCGTCGGTCTACAACTTTTGTGGAAGAATCCGAGTGGAGAACACACGCGGGATATATGATCGGTTGAGCTTTCACCGTTGTCCTAGCACTTCGACAAGCGTAATCTGAAGAGAATGAAACTAACCTCTGGTGATGAGAGCTTTCAAAAGCTGCGTGGCTTTTCCCTGGTTCTGGATTTTGTTGTGAAAATTCAAATAGGCAAAGCACGCAATTTTATTCAACTGAGTAAATGCGGCGTTGTTGGTCCAAGGACAAAAGACAAGCAGACAAAACGACAATTGCTTGGCATGGAATACACGATTTTGCAGGATATCTATCAGCATGATATTTACTACACCAGCAGAGATGCCACAATACACCCCTCCAAAATAACGAGAGACCGCCAACGCAAGCGCCAAACCCGTGCATTATATCACCTGGCACAAACATGCAGCCACAGACACCGATTTACATGACTAGTCAGATCTCTCGACTACGTTCGCTTCGTTCGAGCCCGGCCTGACGTGGCGCTAATTTATCACAAGGCGCGTCGGAGCGGTGCGTTGTCCGTGCCGCCCGGTTTTCTCCGTCAGCTGGAGGTCCCGGGTGGCGGTGGTGGCCTCTCGGCAGGTCAGGCGGGCGCGGCGGCCGGCCGGCGGCAGGCGCCCGGTGACGGCGGCCCCGTCTCGCGCTCCGTGAGCCCGGCCTCCAGGCGGGCCACCATGGCCGGCAGGTGGCAGAAGTAGCGACTGGCGGCCACGTGCCGCAGACGCACCCGCTGACACAGCTCCGGCCCGTACCGCTGCCGGGGAAGAGGAGTACAGCCACAAAACGGTCAGTACCGCTGTGAGGGAGATGAGGTACGGTCACACTCGTCAGTACCGCTACTGGGAAGAAAGGAGAGGAGCACACCGGTACCTGATACATATATTACAGGCCGTACTGCTAGCTGGAGGTGGGAGAGTTTGGACAAAGCACACACTGGTCACGCGAGAAGTATAACGAGACACTGAAATCATGATTGGTATAGCCGTCTCGTTCCTGGATCGTCATCCACTTTAAGAACGCACGCGCACCTCCAGGTGTGTCATCACTGACCTGCTGCGGCTTTCCGAGCTTGTAGTGCGCCTCGGTCTCGTCTCTGGTGAGCAGGACGCAGTTCCAAGGCGTCCAGGGCTGTTCCACGTCCCAGCGGCAGAGCAGCAGCTCATAGAGGTCCGGATCGGCGCTCAGGCAGGACTGGCCGCCCCACAGCGACAGCACCAGGTGACGGAAATCAGACTCCTGTAACACATGAAAGACAGAGGTGGTATGTCAGACAGGACTGACCGCCCCACAGCGACAGCACCAGGTGACGGAAGTCAGACTCCTGTAACACACAGACAGAGGTGGTATGTCAGACAGGACTGGCCGCCCCACAGCGACAGCACCAGGTGGCGGAAGTCAGACTCCTGTCACAGAAACAAATACATGTGTCAGACTCATTAACCTGTCCCATACCCAGATCATAAGTCACACGTAGGCCTCGCACACACATGGGTAGCGAAAGTCGTACACCTTTCTCACACCGTATGTAGCGAGGAAAGACTTGCCAGTGACCAAACCCCACGCACGCTCCCCGTACTTCGACTGCAGGCTGTCCTCTCTCACATATACTAGAGTACCACTGACCCGTCAGTAATCCTCCGCTGACCTGTATGAGGCAGACGGCTGCCGAGCCCGGTGACCGGTTCTGTTCGTCACGGCGCAGCTCTTCCAGCATCTTCCCGAGCACGTTGTTGTCGTGACGCCGCAGCGCCCAGTTCTGCAGCTGTTCACACATACGGCACCTGAGGGAAAGTAGCGGGACGGAGCGGTAAGGATGGTTGGTGGTTAGTGGTTACACATCTAACTAGAGTTGAAGCCAACGACAGAGGCACTCTGTACTGCGCACAAGTCACCACTAGGCTGTAAAAAATAAGACAATAATGGCATTCGCTAGCTGCATTATTTATGACGGCATAAGTCCTTAAGTCTGATATGGGACATCAGTTCATTCACGACCCCTAAATCAATATCCATCCCACTGCACTTTCCCACACCCACCAATTCCCCGCCGCTCTGACGTACCTCCTCAGGGTAACGTCGCTGGCGTCCACCTGGAACTGGTGTCTCGGCAGACAGCGGTGGCACGAGGTGCACGTGTTGACGTCACCGCGGATCGACTCTGGGTCCAGCGGTACCTGACGCACGTCAAAACAAGGCACACGTCAGTCGGGGACAGTGATGGTGACGGCAGACATCATCCAAAAGCAATAAGGCGAGATGAGGAAAATTTACAGGCAGTGAAGCAACATGTGTAAGCATCATAGAGTATTAGCAAACATCATGAAAAAACGCGGTAAATTATGTACATTTTTATCAGCCAGGATAGTATCAAAAGTGGACCCTGTTAGCTAGCCATGCCAGACCCAGCAGAACTCCTAGCCACTGTGGCCTAGGACGCACCTTCTGGCATTTGGCCGAGGCCGGGTTGAAGTTGACATCCCTCAGCAGTCGCCAGAAGAGCTGCAGGGAGCGGTGTCTCAGGCCGGCCAGGTGCCGCGGCGTCACCCCGCGCGACAGCAGGTCCATCTCGCGCTTACAGAGGTCCCGCAGCTCGTGGTTATCGGCCGAGAACGGCAGGCCGGCGATCTGCGGACGGATGGGCGTTAGAAGCCGAATAGGAGGGAGAAGCGCGGATATGTCGCACATCTGACTGGCTAACAATCGACCGAATAAAATGATGGTTACCAAACTCACTCCGCATGATAACGTATTACTCCTCTTATAATATGAACACCAAAACAGATTCAACAGTGCTCACGGTAACCGAAACAACACATTTTAACAAAAAGATGCCCACCATATGGTCCCACCCCCCAAAACCTGACAACTTCCATAACTCAACGTATTGACACCTGTCACATGATTGCGCAAAATACACGTAATCGTGCGCTGATTTTCTCACCCTCCCAAGTCCGATCCAGTCTCACCAGGTCGGCCAGCGTGGCCAAGATGTCTGACCGCTCGTCGGCGCTCAGCCCGGGCAGGGTCAGCGAGGTGTGAATGTCGCGCAGCTGACGCGCCCACAGCGTCACTGAGTTGTCCACCGAAATGGGCTCGCCGTCACGGCCCTTCCAGCGCAGAGGTGCCTGCGTCTGTCAAGAGAGGGGAGTAAAGGGCTTAGACACAGTGTAACTGCTGATACAGGCACAGCATAGGCGACTCGCTGTCATAGAGAGGAGTAGGCAGCAACACAAAGTACGTATGCCTGACCCTGCTTTAAACGACGCAATGCAAGTTTGATTTGACGAGCCGGCCTGTGGTAGGCAGTGCCATTCAAAAGTGTCCATGCAACGTCGACTTATGATTCGATAACTATTTTCCCGAACCAAGAGCGTTGATCTGAAATATCATTACATGTTGAGTTCAATCATAGTACCTATTAGACCAATCCAAACTTCACGTACCTTCTCCAGCAGCCGGTGTATGCGTTTGGCCTGTCCGCAGGCGGCCGCGCGGCTCTGATGGCCGTTGATGGCCTTCAGCATCTCCGCCTCCTGTTCCAGCAGCTGACACAGCGCCGCCTTCAGCTCACCACCCGACTTGGTGGAGTAACAGTAGGCGATGGCCTTCTTCCGCCAGGCCTCCAGCGAGCTGAACAGAATGTCGAAGTCGTTCTTGCTCTTGGGGTCCATCTTCCGCTCGACGACTCCGGCGCGACGCTTCAGCCGAGCCTGGGACCCAGGCCGAATACAGGTCAGCGTCGGCAATAACGAACAGAATTACAGCAACAGCTGCAGATAAGAGGAGGAAATGATCGCCATGAGAGAGATAAGCTACAAAGAAAACATTAACAACACTAAATCTAAGATAGGTCAATTAGTGTTCAGTGTGAGCGTTGGTCACTCGACTAACGTTGCAATGCCGCACTCCGGAGTCTCTGGTGACCTCCGATGACCCAATGACCCGTATCTGACCTGTTTGCGCCGTTCTGCGTCGTCCACAATCCACTGGAGCACGACATCCCGCTCCCTGGCCATCCGCTGTACCCGGCGACGGGCCAGCCAGCGGCGCCAGTACTTCTGTAGAAGAATCGCCTGTGGTGGAGAGCGTGAATATCGTCAGACAGGGGAGTAACACGGGCCAACCAGCGGCGCCAGTATTTTTGTAGAACGATCGCCTGTGGTGGAGAGGGAACATCGTCAGACAATTGGGGCCTATTGTTGTTGTTGTTGTTGTTCCCCCTGGGACCTCCTTACGGAGGACCATAGCCGAGAGGCTCCCTATGGCGAAGGTAGCCGGCCTCCAAGGCAGCCACCAGGTCGGCGTCCCGCAGCCGCGACGGGTCGACGTGAATGCTGCCAGTTAGCCGCAGGCGGGCGCCAGCGAGGGCCGGGCAGCGGAGCAACACGTGCTCCGGCACGTCCGCCTCTTCCCGGCACACGGCGCAGAGCGCCGTGGGGCACCGCTTATCGGGGCACTGCAGGCATGCCACGGAGGGGTGGCGGCCGATCCGGTGCAGGTATTGGAGCGAGCGGCCCCAGTGGCCCACCCTCCACTGGTGCACCGAGATGGCGGCCTCTCGGTCCTCTCCGGGGATGGGGAGCGGCAGGGTGCTCCCGAAGATAGCCTTGAAAAAGGAGTCGGGCCAGTTTTCGCGCCACTGACGTGTGGTCGTCCGATGAACTGCCCGTGTCAGGGGCCGAGCGTCCGAGGGCACGGCGCCCTGGGGCAGGGTGGCCGCTTGCTTGGCCAGGGCGTCAGCGCGCTCGTTCTCCGCCAGCCCGCAGTGAGCAGGGACCCACTGCAGGGTCACCTGCCGGCGCTCGGCAATGTCCAGCAGCGTCCTCCAGATCGCCGCGCCGAAAGTGGAGGTCTGGGCGGCCGCTCCCGCGCTGAGGAGGCTCAGGGCGGCTCGTGAGTCAGAGCACGCCACCAGCGGGGCGGGGGACGGCTCATCCCGGACCCGCTCCAGCGCCGCCCTCAGGGCGAACAGCTCCGCACGGGTGCTGGAGCAGAGGTCTCCCGCCACCACCTCAACCTCGAGAGTCTCCCCCGACGCGGTAAAGATGATGGCGCCGCCCCCTCGCCTCGCCTGACCCCAGCGTCCGCAGAGCCGTCGGACCAAATCCACGTGGCCTGGGCTGGGAGCGCCGCCAGGTGCTGCCGCGCGGCCTCTCGTCGCGTCTCGTTGGAGGAGGCTCGACGACCGCCGGGTCCCACGTCCAGATTGAAGGCGATCGGGCGGCAGGTTGTCCACGGGAGGAGGGGAACCTCGAGGCGCGGCTCCACCGTCACTCCCTCGGCGCCCGCCTCGATCAGCGCCGATCGCCCCAGTTGTCGCCAGCCGGTGGTAGACCGCAGTCGAGTGGGTGGGTCGGCCTCCGCGACGCGGCGAAGAGGGTCGTCCTCCGGCAGGGCGAGCGCTCGGCAGAGCGTTCGCGCGGCCAGCGTCTTCCTGGTGGACCATGCTGAAGGGATGCCAGCCTCGGCCAGCAGGGGATCCCTGGGGGTGGACCTTGGGCATCCGGTCACCACCCGGGCTGCCGCCAGCAGCTCGCGCTCCACCAGCTGAACGTGTGACGGGGACGCGGCCGGGAGCCAGGCACCCGCTGCGTATTCAAGGGCTCCCCGGACATACCCGTTCGCGACTGTCCTGAGCTGCGCCTCGCGGAGACCCCAGGCCCGGCCGGTCATCCTCCGCAGCTGTGCCGTCCGCGGCCGGACCTTCCGCCGCAGCAGAGAGTCGCAGTGGTCTTTAAAGTGTAGAAGTCTGTCGAAGGTCACCCCCAGAAGATGTAGGCTGGTGCCACCGGTGACCTGCGTGCCGTTCGCCAGGAGTTGCACGCCGCGCTCGTCCCTGCTCCGCTGAGTCAGCAGCAGCGCCTGGGTCTTCTGTCCGGCGATGGACATCTTCCAGTGCCTTGCCCATCGGGCCAGGGCGTCGGCCGACTTCTGGGCGCGAGCCACCGCAAGCTCTACGGTGGCTCCAGCGCTCAGTGTGGCCCTGTCGTCCGCATACATCAGGACGTCCGTGCGGTCCGAGGCGTTCCGCAGGGTCTCGATAAGGTCCGCCGCCCAGAGCGTGTAGATGGTCGGTGCCAGGACCGAGCCCTGCGGCAGGCCCGCGCGGAACACGCGCTCGCTGCTGTGCGCGCCGTTGACCTCTACGCGGGCCCGCCTGCCGCGAAGGAACCGGAATTTCCAGGTCGCGAGACATCTGGGGAGGAGCTTGAGGAGCTTCAGGTGCAACATCCGGTGATCGATCGTGTCATAGGCACGGGAGAAGTCGAACGCCAGGAGGACAAAGCGGTCCGCCGTCACGCCATCCTCCGGGCCTCGTCTCGGCTTGGGGCGATTCCAGCCATCTTGAACCGTTTGGACCAAGCGGGCCAGACTGTCCTCCGCCGACCTCCCGCGGCGGAACCCGACCTGTTCGGGGGGCACCAGTCGGTCTCGCTCGATGAGGTAGGTCGTCCGGGCCGCGATCATCCGCTCCGCTAGCTTGGCGATGTGACTCGTGAGCGCGATCGGGCGGTAGCTGCCCACTTGTTTGGGGTCTTTGCCGGCCTTAAAGATAGGGATGATGGTCGCCCGTCGCCATGAGGCGGGCGTCTCGAGGTTGGACCACGATCTGTTGATGAGTGCCAGAAGGGTCCGGTAGGCCGTCGGTCCGAAGTGCCGCAGGTGTTCGGTGCATACCCGGTCCGGTCCTGGCGCCTTCTTCGTCCCGAGGTGTCGGATTTGGTCGTCGGATTGGGGCCTGTCTGTGGGAGAGACACACAGCCCAACAAACGACGCCAGTACTTCTGCAGAACGATCGCCTGCAGAGACAGCGGGAGCATAGTCAGACGCGGGGAGACAGTCACACGGGCCAGCCAGCGACGCCAGTGCTTGTGAGGAACGACTACCTGTGAGGGCGAGGGGAAGACTGTTGGTGCGTGTGGGGGGGGGGGGGGGGGCACGGCATATCAGCGAGAGGCACAGATTGTCGCTGATATGGACCAGACCACTGTCAAGTGTCAAAATAAATTATTTTTACAAGCTAAGCGAAATATGTGAGGGTACTTGATTGTTTATGAATGGTTAAACATAGCGAAGCTAGTTATAATTTCCAAAATCCCACACCATGGCTGTAATACTGTTTGTGAGCATGCCGCCAGTGCAAGACCCAGCGCGGCGCCGCTCTCACCTTATCGGTTCGCAGCTGGAGCAGTTCGTCAGCCGTCTGGTAGGCGCCGCTGTAGGACAGCACCCGCTCGCGCCGGTGGTCCTGCCACACACCCGGTTTGGGCATCTGGGTGCACGTGTCGCGGTTCGTCTGCACGGCCGCCGGCAGGCCCCATGCTGTCTGCGCGTCCCGCTCGTGGCGCTCTGGACGAACGGACGGTTAAGATCAATGGCGCTGACAATTCACGACCTGACACGAGTTGCGAACAGGCGTGGGTCGAGGACAGGCCCGTTGGGTCGAGATTTCGAGAATATGGGTCAAAGATCACGATAGCACATGGTTCACGGACAACGGTCACAGACGCGGATCACAGAAAAATGGCACGGACACGGTCCTGAACACGGATCACAGTCTAGCACGAGGTTCACAGAGGGTTAAAGACACGGATAGTGGGAACCAGTCAGGGACACGGGCCACCGACGGTTTAACACGCGATAAGCATAACTTCAACGTAGCTGCCGGTAGAGTCCGCGGCACTCCGCGCTGCTCCGAACTGAAAGACTCACCATAGGCGTAGTTTCTGAAGGGCCGAGTGTAGGTCTGCGCGGTGGCGTGCAGGTACTCGGTGCCGTCCCGTTTGTCCCGGTATCCGCCTAAGAACGGTTTCTCGCCGTCTCCCGGCTCGATAGCCACCGAAATGGTCCGCCGTCCGCCGTCCTCCCCCTCTGCACAGGACAGAGTGGCGAATAGGTCAGATATGTCACGCTGAACTCAGGGCAAGGTATTGGTTCAGTTCGTAAGGTATAGATACCCTAGGAAGTGTCATTAAACTGTCGTTGAGAGGCACCCCAAGTAGCCAGCACCATGAATGAACAACATTCGCGTTTGCATAAGGCTTACCTTTACCAGGAGGCATGAATGGGGAATGCTTAGTCATTAATTGAGCAAATCAAACCATCTAGAACGGTCAATAGACTGAGACACCAACTTGAAGTGTCCGGTATGACTCCACGCTTCTACGGTACAATTCTACGGTATTTCATGTGCAGATCTACCAAAAAGTAGTAAAAGATTGGGCAAAGACCATGCAACTACAAAGGACTAATCCCAAAACATAGCTCACAACCGAGTCTACGAGAGGGGACCCTAAGACCTACCCTCCACAAGGCAGCTCACTGTGACTAACCTGCACGGCGGAAGCTCCGGGGACCGACCTGTGTGCACGGTGACGGTCCGCACGCCGCCGCCGCCCGCTCCCGGGCCGTCAGACGAGGACGGTCGCCGGCGCACGATCCTCTCCAGCACATTCAGCACGAACCCGGGCTGTTCGAGGTCCAGTCCGGCCAGCACCAGACTGTCCGAGACCGGCTCCGTGCCAAGGTAGATCTCCAGCTGTGAGACAATCACAAACGAGGATGGAAGGTCACAAGCAGACTAAGACGATCTGACAAGTAACCTCACATCACTGTCTACGTAGAATTGCACAAACAACCACAATCGTAACATTTTTAACTGTAACATTGACTGTCACCGAACAGTGGCTGTATTTATCCCGTTTAGCCGCCGTCCTGTGCCCCCACGCCACTCACATCATCCGGATGGTAGTTGAGGTCGCCAGCCAGCACGGCCAGCACCTCGCGCATGTTGTAGTTGATGTGGAGCTCCTTCACGAGGCGCCGGCCACCGGCCACCACGAACGGAATGGCAACCTTGGGCGCAGAGTTGGTCCGCTGCAGACTTCGGTGCACCCCAATACCCTGGAGGCGGGGACATGGAACTGAATGGTAAATAGGCTACTGAGGATGAGCCAGCTTCACTGCCTACTGCACAGATTGGCCTGGCACCATCCTGCCTGAACGGCAGTGACATGCAATTTGTATGTAATATTAATTCATTATGGCCAGTCACTGCAATTAAATTTTGAAAATTAGCAGAAGAATGGGTTAAGTTTGACTTTTACAAAAAGTTCACACTGAAAGCAGAATGGAACTCCTGGTCATATGTGAGAGGAATAACCTCAAACCACATTTTGAAAAATCCAGAGTATGCAGTATAAATGAATTGTCGTTCACAAAACGAGAAAAGTGCAAATGCATGGATCAATTTATAAAATATGATAGTGAAAGACAACAAAACAATTATTACTGCATTCACAAAACCACAAAACTTACATTACGGTCTTGGTGAGTTGAGTTGACCGCCATCGTCACCCTCAGTCAGCTGGAATGTTGATCTCCAGATGGTTCACACTCTCCCTGAAAAGGATATTACAATCAATAACAAAGCTAAAGCTTAAGAGTCAAGTGTTAATTTTTTTTCAGCCCGGCAGGGTGGTCCATTAACTGATTTTTATCATGGCTAATCTTAGTCTCTACAGGCTGTCGCACGCAATACTGCTGGTCTTTGAATGATGGCCCACCAAGCCGATCCCGGGACACGTCAGTCGTCCAAGCCCGCCAGTATTGGGGCGCGTCATTCGTCCCATCCCACCTGTCCCCGAGCCAGCACACGTCATTCGTTCCACCCTGAGGCCTGACCTGACCCCAACGACACCGGGGCAAGTTATTCGTCCTCCGCCTATTGAACATTGGAGTTCGTAGGTTTGGGGCTTTCTGAGAAAATATGAAATTCATTTTTTTTAAAGGAGCGATAAATGAGATCCCATTGCAGGAAGCAGACAACAGGACCCAATCGCGTCCCCGCATCAGATACTTTTTCTCAAATCACGTCAGTCCCGCAGCTCAGTTGGTGGAGCGTTGAGCTCAACGGGTGACAGCCCGGTTTGTTCACATTCGCTTTTTGGATCGCGCGAGCGCTCCGTTCCTATGAAAGCATCGCGCGACGCCTCACCCCACCATTGGAGACGCCATTTCTGGCGAATACGCGGCCGGGAGGCGAGGACGGAGCCAAACGCTCCATCGGTGCAGAGTCCACCGAGCAGCCCCAGCCGATTTCGGCGATATCGGCTAGCTGGCTGCAGTTTCGAGTAGTACCAGGCAAAGAAGCTAAACAGTATGATCATATTCATGCTGGACACCCAAAATGGAATGTGAGAGAGGATTTACATGCCTAACCAGAACAAACCCATTTGGGTCTTGACCCATTTGGGTCTTGATCAGCTTCCACATAATCAGTGCCCTACACTAGAGCTATCTTCCACTCTGACAGGATCCCCAAAATCTGCCCCACTGGCAGGAAGCCATGAAACTGTCTAGTGTCACTTGTCAGCATTCATGAGTCAAGTGCACCAATGCCAATACCATTGAGCCCCAGTGTGTAAACCAGTACTTGCTGTGATATTATGCATGCTGGGTGCTGGCAGGGTAAGGGATAAGGGCTATGTTCAGCAGGGACATTGGCAATTGACAGTGTGAGGATACACTTTAGATTAATCAGTGCACTGCAGATCCAGACTGCAAAGCATGGCAATGTTAATTGTTAATAGGATCTTGTCAGTGCACAGGCAAACAGGTGGTGCATGGTGCTGTGCTGATTTCCAATGTTGGAGTGTGGATTTTGCTTGGAGCTGTACAGCTGGCCCCAATGTGCCACTATACTGAACTGCTGTCCTTGCACATTCACGCCCACGGGCATCACTTTTCCAAAATTGGTAGGGCTCTAATGATCAATTATAGATCAAAAACTCTTACTCTGACTCTGGGCAAAAGCAAAACTGCTGACTCCAACTGACTCAGACCCCGGCCCCTAGCGGCCATCCCTGACCCTGCAGTTGATGACTCTGACTCCAACTCTGCAGCACTAGTTTTGATATCATAAGTGCATATATCTCGTGCATTTGGGGGCAAAAATTAATGGGTCCTGTTGGGTACAGCCTGGTGTGGCTTTCTGGTGTTTGGCATGGGCTGGTGCAGATTTGTCGAATGAGCTTGTGAGTGTCATTGTCTCTGTTGTCTCACTTTGCAGTGCAGGTGCAGTCTGCCCGGGCCCTGGAGAGTGGTCAACAGAACAGCCCAATTAACCATGAATCACAATGAAAATGCGGTATCGGTAAAGCTGGCGTCACCCTCACCTCGTTTACTCTTCTCGTTGGTTCCTGCATATCTTTGGAGTGGTTTCAAAGGACAGTCAGAGAGGAAATGAGGAACCCACACTGCTCGAGACGCGCCAGTCATCAACGGAAACAATGCACATGTTAACATTCGCTAAGAGAATGACTGGTATAGTGCGCCTCCGGTGACATTATTACCAAAACATTGTCAGGCTTTCTGGAGTTATGCCTAGTTACATTGTTAGGTTACACAATTACAAAAGAAAACAATGTGTGTACATAGTCACAACATGGCATGATTCAGTCAACGTAAGAAAACAGTACATCTGGAATGCAGGCATCCAACATTTTTTTAAAGTTCTGTATACTTTGGGCATTCACCACATAATCTGGCAGCGAGTTCCACGTATCAATCACCCTCACTGAGAAAAAACGTTGTCTGGTGGACGTGTTACCGTGTGTGCGATGAATCTTGAAACTATGGCCTCTGGTGCGGTTCAAGGGAGTGGTAAGGAAAAGATCATCTGGAGAGATGAAGGACTGTCCATGGAAGATTTTCCAGCACAGGAGAAGATCGGCCCGCTTCAGTCTGCCCTGGACAGAGTACAATTGCAATGACTGGAGACGATTAGCATAACTGAGAGTTTCAAGTCCAGAGATCCGTTTAGTCCAGCGTCGCTGCACCCTTTCCAGTAGCCGGAGGTCCTGCAGGTAACCTGTGTTCCAAAGGCTTGAACAATAGTCTAAGATAGGTCGGATGTGTGTTTTGAGCAAAAACAACATAAACTCCGGAGAGCGGCTTACCGTTGATCTGAGAAAGTTCTGAGCAAGACCGCCAGCTTTGTGGCACACGTTTTGAATATGGGTGTGAAATTTCAAATCAGTATCGACCGTGACTCCCAAATCTTTAGCTGAATTGGCCCGAGGGATTTCTCTGCCATTCAAGAAGTAAGCTGGAGCATCGCTATTGCGCCTCCTAGAAAAACTAAGGACTGCACATTTTGAGACATTCATATGAAGACCCCAAGATAGAGCAGTGTCGTGGAGTGAGTTGATGTCATCCTGGACACATTGGTGGGATACCGCTGGCGTCTCAGACAGTCGTGTATGATTCACGCATGCGTAAATCTTGAGGTCGTCAGTGAAAATTTTGTATTGGCACTTGAGGGTGGACGCCACACTATTAATATTGATATACACCAGGAAGAGTAAGGGCCCCAGGACAGAGCCCCACCATCACCACTAACAGCTAAATGTGTAGATGAAGTTAGAGTAAAACACATAATCTAACCTGACCTAGCCTTACCTACTTACCTACAACCTACCAGCCTACACACTTTGAACCAACCAGCCTACAACCTACAAACCCAGTAGGCGGAACTATGGTCAAGCGTACCCATTTTCGGGAACGCATTTTCGTTCCCATGTTTGGGAACGATAAACCCAAATATGGGAACGCCATGTAGGCATTATTTAAAACAAGAAAAAGAACCGTTAAATGACGTCCAAAAAAAAAAAAAAACGATCGTGAACCGCCTGATATTTGTCCCAATATTGTTGGGAAAGAGTTTGATATTGTAAGGCCCATCGTAGTTTCAAATCGTTCCCCTATTTCTAAAGCAGTCCATCATCCGGGCCGCGAGCCCAAATTTGGGAACGCTCTCGTACACTGGCGCTGCAAGCGTTCCTTATTATGGGAACGGCGTACCCAAAATTGGGAACGATTTCACCGACGCCTTTCAGGGGCTCTTTTCATTAACAAGCATCACGTCCAACGCCGCAAATTATTGTTAACGCAACAATCATCAGATGACCTTTCCGGCAAGACCGTCGCATGTTACGCCCGGTCTTCTGCGCTTTTATTCCCGTCGATCTCGCAGCGGGCACGCCCCCCTCTGCAGGATTACGTAGTTCACAACGCTCAGCGATGTTCAACAAGGTCTTCCATACCTATATCCACCGTCCGCGCCGAGGGTGGAGACATGTCAAGCACCTGTCTGTTTATCACCGATAGTTGACGAGCACAAGGAAGTATCCAAAAATGGGAACGCTGAATATGTTACACCCTCAAAACACCTAGTCCCAATGAAAATCTAGTTTTTTCCTTTCTTGATGGGTGTAAGTGGCAAAAGGCCTGGTAGGATGGGCACGAGGAATGATCGAGATCAGCATAAAAATTATAAATAAGCCACACAAAGCGACCTATATAAGAGAAATTCCCCCAAAACGATCGTGCTTAGAAACACGGAAGACAAAAATCACGCTCATGACGCTCCTTATAAAACAACGCTTAAAGGGACTGTCCCACCTTAACATTAGATTTGAGTTGAGATAGCCATCTTGATGGACGTTCTTTGAAAATCAGTGCCGTGAAAACCGTTTCTCCAGCAATTACTTCATCGCAAAGAAATTTGAGTTTGATTTTGACATCTGTGCAAATAAGTGCCACAATGTATTGGTATAGGCACTTAAATCTGATGACGTCATCAGGCTTTCGAACGTCCGTTAAATGTTTGACTAAAACGTTTTGTAGCACGCGGTGGTATATGCTGCGTTGCGCGCAACAAATGCCGCACTTTTAAATAAAGTCGCTAGGAACAGCGGAGATCCCAAAAAGTAAACAAAAGTAAAAGTCTAATATCTTCAAAACCGGTGAATATTTTTCGGTGAAATTTGGTAGATATTCGTTTTCGCTCTTTCTGAACCGAGCGACATCACTTTCATGCCAATTCATAAACTTTTTTAAAGGTGGGAGGGTCCCTTTAACAGCTAGCATCCAAATAAAATATGTCTTTCCGGGATGATAAAATACAGCTGAATAATTTTAAACCACTGAAACCGAGTTTACAACAGTAGTTCGGTAAAATCACTGACGTTCCACGCGGTCGTGCGCCCCGACACCAAAAGTCAACAATATTACCTCGGGACTGTCCGCGTGTTCGCTTGCATATGTCAGCATCTGGTGTCGCTAGTATGAAACTTCATAACCAGGCGAAAATTATTGTACTTGACCTCAAAATGTAAAAAACGCTTCATTTTCCTTAAAATTGCAAGTTAAATGTAGTATAACCCATGTTTTCACCATTCCGTCATTTCAAAAAATCATTAAAAATATCATTCGACGGTCAATTTCCTTGTGCAACGGTCAGATTAAAGATAATTTTATAGAGACTTAGTACGTAACCGGACAAATCTTCGTATGGCAATTCTTCGTCGCGCAATTCCTCGTCCGCATTTCTTCGTCCGCAAATCTTCGTCGGCGCATTTATTCGTGTCGCATAACTTCGTCTCGCATTTCTTCGTAAGCGCAAATATTCGTAGCGCATTTTTTCGTATCCGCATTTCTTCGTACGCGCATTTCTTCGTCAAGCATTTTTTCGTCCACGCATTTCTTCGTCTACGCAAATCTTCGTCCGCATTTCTTCGTCCACGCAAATCTTCGTCTGCGCATATCTTCGTCCGCAAATCTTCGTCCCCGCAAATCTTCGTCCGCAAATCTTCGTCCGCATTTTTTCGTCCACGCATTTCTTCGTCTACGCAAATCTTCGTCCGCATTTCTTCGTCCAGCAAATCTTCGTCCCGGCAAATCTTCGTCCGCAAATCTTCGTCCGCCAAACTTCGTCCGCAAATCTTCGTCCGCAAATCTTCGTCCGCATTTTTCGTCCACGCATTTCTTCGTCCACGCAAATCTTCGTCCGCAAATCTTTGTCTGCGCATATTTTCGTCCGCAAACCTTTGTCTCCGCTATCTTCGTCTCCGCAAACATTCGTCCACAAATGTGGTTCAATAAAACCATGAAGAAATATCAGACCATCAAGTGATTGACGAATTTAATGCATGGAATGGATGATCGAAACTTTTGAAGTCAGGTAGATGGGGTCTGTCCGGTGAAGCTATTGTATTTGGGAGCCGAGAATTGAAACATTCCATATCATGTGTCCCGGACATTCTTTTTTCGCGGTCGATGAATGACAATACAATCTCTTGTACCCTCGCCGGCATAGGCGGCGGAACGGGGAGGGCACCGGGGCACCGTTCCCCTCTTTAATTTTGGCCTTTTAACAGTAGCCCTATGGGCGTTGCATGGAAAGAATGGGACTAAAAGTCGGCAGTGCCGTGCCCCCCCCCCCCCTAATTGAATGTGTTCCGCCGCTACTGCTCGCCGGACCTATTTGTTTTCTACATATACGCCGGCCGAGGGGGGCGGGTACGACCCCCCCCCCCCCCATCGCCGTTTCGCCACTGGTGGAGCTAGCGCGTCGCGGAAAAAACGAGCGTGTGCGCCGTTACGAGACGCAGAGGTTAATACCCGATTTTAAGGCCTTCTAGGTCAGGGGTCGGCTTACAGCCCGCGGGCCGGATCCGGCCAGGAGGGTGACGGTTGGATCCGGCCCGCGACCATCTGACGTCCGGCCCGCGCAAGTTTTGTCTAGAAGTAGAATTAGACAAAAACACCCGCAAATGGTGTTTATAAACTCATGAAGTGTGCGAAGGAAGAACTATTGTGCCAAAGCACATTTAAGTCACTTTTATATCGGAGTCGATTTCTGAAGGAACCGCGGGCCGGAACACGATGTAAGTCGATGATACCAGCCGCGGGCCGGACGTCAGATGGTCGCGGGCCGGATCGAACCGTCACCCTCCTGGCCGGATCCGGCCCGCGGGCCGTAAGCCGACCCCTGACCTAGAAGGCCTTAAAATCGGGTATTAATCTCTGCGTCTCGTAACGGCGCACACGCTCGTTTTTTTCCGCGACGCGCTAGCTCCACCAGTGGCGAAACGGCGATGGGGGGAAGGGGGGGGGGGTCGTGCCCGCCCCCCCCCCCTCGGCCGGCGTATATGTAGAAAACAAATAGGTCCGGCGAGCAGTAGCGGCGGAACACATTCAATTAGGGGGGGGGGGGGGCTTGGCACTGCCGACTTTTAGTCCCATTCTTTCCATGCAACGCCCATAGGGCTACTGTTAAAAGGCCAAATTAAAGAGGGGAACGGTGCCCCGGTGCCCTCCCCGTTCCGCCGCCTATGCCGGCGAGGGTACAAGAGATTGTATTGTCATTCATCGACCGCGAAAAAAGAATGTCCGGGACACAAATGATATGGAATGTTTCAATTCTCGGCTCCCAAATACAATAGCTTCACCTGACAGACCTCATCTACCTGACTTCAAAAGTTTCGATCATCCATTCCATGCATTAAATTCGTCAATCACTTGATGGTCTGATATTTCTTCATGGTTTTATTGAACCACATTTGTGGACGAATGTTTGCGGAGACGAAGATAGCGGAGACAAAGGTTTGCGGACGAAAATATGCGCAGACAAAGATTTGCGGACGAAGATTTGCGTGGACGAAGAAATGCGTGGACGAAAAATGCGGACGAAGATTTGCAGACGAAGATTTGCGGACGAAGTTTTGCGGACGAAGATTTGCGGACGAAGATTTGCCGGGACGAAGATTTGCGTGGACGAAGAAATGCGGACGAAGATTTGCGTAGACGAAGAAATGCGTGGACGAAAAAATGTGGACGAAGATTTGCGGACGAAGATTTGCGGGGACGAAGATTTGCGGACGAAGATATGCGCAGACGAAGATTTGCGTGGACGAAGAAATGCGGACGAAGATTTGCGTAGACGAAGAAATGCGTGGACGAAAAAATGCTTGACGAAGAAATGCGCGTACGAAGAAATGCGGATACGAAAAAATGCGCTACGAATATTTGCGCTTACTAAGAAATGCGAGACGAAGTTATGCGACACGAATAAATGCGCCGACGAAGATTTGCGGACGAAGAAATGCGGACGAAGAATTGCGCGACGAAGAAATGCCATACGAAGATTTGTCCTGGAATCGACTTAGTAGATACTTAAATTAGCGTGCACTTTTTTGAGACGTGATGCACTAATGAGTTTTAGTGGGCGAACGGCCGAAAAATTAACTTCCGTTCTCATAAATGGGAACGCCCGTTCCCATATTTGGGAACTCCGTTCCCAAAAATGGGAACGTTCCTATATTTGGGTACTCATGACCATAGTTCCACCTACTGAACCCACAACATAACCTACCTACCTACCGCCGACGGTGACGCCAGCTTTACCGATAGGTACCGAAAATGCTAGGATACGTCAGCACCTCTGACCAGTCGTTAGATTTTTATCTACTTGGACTTCATCTTCACATTTAATAGTGTGTGCCCACAATTATCAATTCACACTTAACACTGAAAATGTCATTGGTTAAAATCAAAATTGAAATAGACGCCAATCGCCATATCAGTTGGGCAAACTAGGCGGCGGGAATCAAAATATGGAGGCATCAAAATATTGATTCTAGTGGGCGGAGCTTTGACCATATATGGGCATAGAATCAATATTTTGATTCAATTTGGGACATTCCCACCTTCAGACGACCCGTTACGGCGGAAAAAACCCCCATGACGGCGAGATTTTTTGACAAGTCAACACAAAAAACTTCCCCGCTTCAATTTTTCGCTGCATGGCTATCAGCCGTTTGTCGCGCGTACCTTTACGAATGGCATAAAGATTTCGCCGCCATAATTCAACAAAAACGTGCTGTTAAAACTTGCTCTGTTTATCATTAACGACGAGCCTTTGTATTTTTTTCATAATTTTGTCTAAAAGAAAATGAAAAATGCGTTATTTAGTTGTATAATTCATTTATAAGAAATATTCTTTTTCTTTGTATCTAGCCACGATTTCCGGTTCCCGCCATTTCGCGCCGGCGTCGTGGGTGTTTGGATGCAACGTAGTGCTCCCGGTTTTATTTTGTTTAAGCGACCTTTTCTGAAGTGTAAGTAACAATGGATCATATTTTAAGATACTTTGAAGTGTGTTTTTCAATTTCAGGCATGTGATCTTAACGTTTCTTACCAAAAACTCGTTTTAAGAGATGGTTTTAGGAACATGGCGCGGTAGCGACATCAGCGGCGCGGGACGCCTTCTCACTCTTCTATTGTCTTTTTAAGCTATATTTTTTCGAAAATGATGTCTTAGGTGTAGTATTTCAGTGAAATATGATGTCCTTTAAAAGTTACGGTATAAATTAGTTACAAGAAGCCTGATGTTTTGTCTCACATGATAGAATTGTTGGGTGGACTCATGAAATGGGGGCAGTGCATGTCCAGTATTTTACATAATTTGGATGTTTTAGCCTCTGCTTGTGTCTCACTCACCCAATTGTTGCTACAACTTTAATTTGTAGCATTTAAATTTTTTAAGGGCAACTAGGTTATTGACTTGTTCCGATTTAAGATTGAAAGGTCTTAGTGCATGTTGGTGTTTGCCTTATTTAAATAGTAGGTATGTATGCTTGGCTTGTAATTGCTTCGCCCATTTTTGCTACATATTTAATGATGCTTATTTTAAGTGTAACAAAAGCAAGTTGCTGAATGGTGTAAGCCATATTTACATTATGCGTAGTCTTCAAGAAAATTATGCGTCTAATGTATGTCAGTCCAGGGAATGCTGGATAGTTAATTTTCAGGATTGTCCATGCCAAAGTTAATTATAGAGGCCAGTTTTATCGACACAAATAGCTGCCTGCTGGAATTTTTTTGCCCAAAGACTGCTTCACATATGGAGCGTTAACATGATGGGCACGTAAACGGATAAGGCTGTACCGTTCATGCTCTGTATGTGAAGTAACTTTTAGACAAAAAAAAAATCCAGCAGCCACCTATTTTTCTGTTGGTACAACTGGCCTCAGATATACTTTTTTGGCAGAATTTATATAACTGCATGAGATGACAGTTGTTGGCGCACCTGGTGGCGTTCAGTGGAAATTTAAGTGACATTATTTAATTTTTTAATTAATTTTTTATTGAATATATTCTAAAATTAATAGTTGCTGAACAAGTAGAATAATAACACATATAGTTTCCTAATTTATTGTCCACAAATGTCCTAATTATTGTGTTCTGTTGTTTGCTGCAGGTCAACCAATGATCAAACACTGGTCGTTGCGGGGATTGGCTTCAGAGGGTCAAGGATGGCGTCTTGAATCGCTGTTCAGTCGACAGGCAACTGTATGACAACGCCATCCCTGTCAACCAGAGCGTCGACCGAAGTAGGGCGGCGTTGCGCGGACCTGGCCGCACCCGACCAACCGGTGGAGTACCTGACTCGGGCTGGGTGGAGACTACCTACATCACGACTTTTTGAACTTTGATCTCGTGGCGAGAAACAATATGACGTGAGGAAGTGTGTATGTGGCTGGCGGGGCCGAGGGTGAAATGCGCCACGTGTTTATCCTGCCGGATGACGACAGCGTCACCAACCTGTCAAAGAACGAGCTGGTGCAGCGCGTGATGACTGCTATCTCGTCCCTAGAACCGGAGTAGAAAAACGT